AGCTAGAAAGAAATGGTAAATCTAGACAATGCAAAAAGCTAAATCTAAACCAAAAGAAAGAACAAAATAAAGGAGATGGAAAAAGCTAGATTTAGATAATGCAAAAACTAGATCTAAACCAAAATCCCAAATCCAAGCACTCCTTAGGGACAATCAAAGGTGCCCTTCAACTCCACCAATGTGAGTGTTTAGAATATAGAAAGGAAATTGAAAAATATGCATATCAATTAGCCCAAAAGCCTAGTTTATATATAAGAGTGAGTGGTCCAGATTGAAACTAATCTGACGGCTACAAAAATCCCACTATGCTAATATTAGTATACAGTATCATAGCTGTACACTTGGCCCTCATAATTTAATATAAAATAAAATAAATATAGTATTATGAGGTATGGCTACAGATCTAAGGCCCAAGTATATAGCTATGGATATGAAGTCTAAATGTATGGCTACAATACTTTATATTAATATTATTTATATAATATAATATTTATTACATGCTGGGATTTTGATAGCTATTAGATTGGTTTCAATCAAGACCACTCAATCTTATATATAAATTAAAGGTTTTAGGCTAATTAGATATATAAATTTCTATATTCCATACACTCATATTGACAAAGTTGAGGGGTAGTCTTGATTGTTTTTGAGGATATATTTTTATTTTAGATCTAGTTTTTGGTTTAGATAATTAATGTAGTTGTTTAATGTTATATGGTTGAAACTAAACAATTAACTTCAGTTGATGGTGACATTCATGGCAAATAGTGCAAATTTTCTTACTTTTTTTACCCATCTTTATGTCTGGCCAAATGTTTTCTATAGAAATCCCAAGAATGATATTAATCACTTTAAAATGATTGCCAATTATCATTCTTGAAATGATATTTAATGTTTGCAATGGTTTCCCATATGTCTCCAAGAAATATTGTTGTAGTGGTACAAGAGTTTAAGTGTGGAACCTCCTCCTAGATGTCTTCAAGTATGCATTTCAAAATGCTGATAATTGTGATGATGTTTTCTAACAATTGCATCATTTTTGTCAAGGACCATCTAAGTTAATTATACAATTTAATATTTGAATCTAGAGCCTCTTACTTTATGTAGAGCTTAAGTAAAGAAAAATTAGAAATGTTTTCAAAAGAAATATAAAAATGATTTGCTACACTCTTTAAATGTACCAATGCTTTGTTTGTTTAATAGTAGTGCTTATTTTTTATTAATCTAGTTGATTGATAGAATTTCTAAATACAAGATTAAATTTATTACACGTTAACCATTAAATGTTCTAGCATTAAATGTTAGAATATCCTAGAATATTCAAATATATTCTAAATATCTACTACCAAATTTAAATGGGGACAGAGTTCCTTCAAGATTTCCAAAGACAATTCTAGGTAACTTAATATTTAAAAGGCCAAGTGTAAATGGACATCTGTATTATCTCAATCAAACAAGTGATAACCAACTTTCCATTATCCAAACAAACATCCATAAAACATTTATTAAAATCATGCAAATGGAACCTGCCCAAGGCCTACAACTGGACAGCCCATGTGCCTTCAGCCATTATCACTTTATTGTTATAGTTAGAATTATAATAAAAAAAGTGTAAAGAATAAATAGAAATTTCTATGTTGTACTTATTGAGTTTTTTCAAGTAATCTACATATAGGAGGAGCTTGAACTAAGACGTATCTCATTTTAATTTAATTCTTAATCTAGATTTATACTTATCATTATATTACCCTAAACCGTAAATATCCAAGAATATTTAAGATATTGTTTAAGACCATATCACATTACCATTCAAATCTAACAATTTTGTGGAGATGTTTTTCATATCTCCAATAACTTTTGACAGTGCATAAGCAGCAAAGAAATATCTAACTTCTAACCAGTTTTCAGCTTCTGGACATATCACACTTAGATCATCACTGAAGTTGAACCCAATTTTTGCTATAAAATGTCGATTCCTAAACATAAATATTTAGATAATTAAATATAAAAATAAAAAACTCACAAAGTATGATGATGAAAAATTGCCAAATAATCATCCAATCCAGCCAACCTTGAATCTGTAGAAAAAATAAAAACTGTTTCTAAGAAAATATAAAAAGTTATCTACTGACCTGACTCAGAATACTTAAGGCTCATCCCAAGTGCTATACTTCTTATATGTTGAAGTTCAAATTCAGTAGTTTTAAGAATCCTAGCTGTTTGTAAAGCTTCCAGCACTTCCTAAAAAACATAAAAGAATAAAATTTATAAGAAAATTCAAATGATATAATATAATACCATGATAGGAATGTTGTACATTGATTTCCTACTTTGGATCAATGTAGACAGTTTAGTCCCAGGGTCCTTTTGTAAATGCCGCTCTGAAAGTACAAAAACATTTTAGATTAAAAGCTAAAAATATTTGCTTGCCAAGAAAGATCCTAAACATCGCATGTGTTGCCCATCTCATCACGTCGTTAGCTAAGCAATTTGGATTTTCACAAAGCATCATTGTAAGGCCACCACACTTGGTTTTTGAGCACGCAATGTATTTTGCGTTAGCAGCCAGCACAGCAGTGGAGAATAAACATTCTCCAGCCTTAGTCTGTGAAAGAACAGGAGTAAGCATCACAGAAACGATACTGATTTACCTGATATTCTGGCATGACAAGAAAAGTGATTTACCTTAGATTTTGGCTCGAGCAGCATTGTGTCCTGAGAATTGGTGACCTTGTCCAATGTACCCCCACGATCCTGTAAAAAAATGAAATGGAATTAAACGTCACGAGTAATAAGGAAGAATGATTTACTTGCGACTTGAGCAACATCATCTCTGTTATTCCCTCTGAATGCATTATGTCACATACGGCCGCGTCCTTGGCCACCCTGCCCTGGACACCAAGCTTGTCCCAAAGACGATCGTCAAAGACTGCCTTGGCAGGGACAAGCTTGGTGCCAGCCACACAGCTTGGTGCCAGTGTCATGGGCATGCCCCGGAAGTCGTCGTAGTTGACGACCCAGTCCAGAGAGCCATACTGCAATGCCTTGGTGGGAACCGCCAGAAGGATGTAGCCAGTGGAGACCCGATTCTGCCAGATGGATTCCTTATAGACGAGGACTTGTTTAGCATCAAGCTCTCCTAAAGTTCCATCGATCACGAATTCCGCCGGAGGACCCCGACACCGCAGGCCGAGCTCGAACGTGGAAATGCAGCCCACGGCTTCGATGCTCCTGATCTGGCATGGCTCCAGCGGCGTCATTGAAGGCTCCATTTCGTTGTCGTACAAGTAGGCTGGAATGCTCCAAGGCGCTCCCCAGTAAAGGGCATTTGCATGTGTACAACGCTGCTTGGGGCAGATGTTTCCATGAGCGTAGCTCAGTGATCAAGCAACGTCGTGTCGGGGCAGCCGCATGCAGTCAACTGCCGGTTGTAGCAGATATCGCAGAAGAGGAACAAGGAGGTGGTGGTGTTATCATAGACGAGCTTGAGAGGAGGAGCAGGAGCACGAGGCCGAGCTCGAACCCGAGCTCGAGTTTCCGCGAGCGTGCCACATCCGCGGGCAACTCCTGTGCCCACAAGCTAAATGTTAGCTGCGCTCTTGCGCTCTTCTACTCACTCACGTCCAAAAAGCCGCCGCCAGAACATGCCGCCCAACCAGGAGCAAGAGTTTATCTGCGAGTGTGCTGGGCAGATCCACTTATCCGCGAGTGTGCTAGGCAGATCCACCGATAGCTACCACCCGGGCAAGGTTCGTAGAATATTCTTTGAAACTCCATAACTCGTTTTATTTTGCTTTCATTCTTTTAATGCTAATGAACATTTAATTTCTTTAGTGAGTCAATGATGCGGCATCTCAAGTATGTACTTAGAATTAAATAATTCTTGCTATCAAAGTTTTAGGATCACCAACATGATCCGTTAACCTCATGTCATAGGCACTCGTTTGTAGTATTTAACATCGCTTCTAGAGCTTCTTTTTCTATCTTTCTAGGCTTCCATAGTGTAGAGTTCTCTATGGCTCACACTTTTCTCTTTGCTACTTCTCTCTTCGCTGTTCTTGCTAGCGCTGTTCTAGCTACCAACAACAACAACTCATGTTTCCCAGGTAAGAATCTGCAAGCGATTTTACAACCAGTCACAAGCTTTATGTTCGCAATCAAAACACAGGCGATGCCACCGTCCAAATGTATAACGGCGACCTCAAACTCATGAGAGATCTCGAAGTTGGAGACAAGGTATTGTATTGCTCTTAAGTTTTTCGAGAGCCCATCTAAACGTGCCAGATCTAAAGGTTGCAGTGAGCAAAAACGTGTTCTCCGATGTCTACGCATTCGGCCACAAGGACGCCGATGTGATCTCCGAGTTCATCCAGGTCCACACCGCCTCAGACATGATCGAGCTTAGCGAGGGCCACTTCATCCCAGTCGACGCCAAGGGAAAGCTTGTGTACAAGCGAGCCAAGGATCTCCAGGTTGGAGAAACTCTCTGGGGATCATCTCAAATCACTGGTAACATCATACTTCTTTTGAGACTTTGCGCTTACTTTTGGCAATTATAGAACTTTCCAAGGTGGAGAAGCTGGGCCTCTACAACCCATTCACTCTCTCCGGCAACATCATGGTTAACAACGTGGAGGCTTCCTCTCACAGCGAGTGGTTCCTGGACTCCCTCTTTGATGCCATTGGCGCAACTGAGTACCTCCCATACGCGTACCAGGCCGTGCTCGCTCCACTTCGCGCCATCTACAACATCGTCGGGAAGGAAATCTACGCGGAGGGCTATGCCGCCATGGATTCCTGCGTCAACTTTGCTGAGTTTGGAGCCAAGTATGGAGGAAGCATTGCTCTCACCGTTGGAATCGCTGGAGTTGCAACAGCAATGCTGGCCACCAAAGCTTGAGCAAAAATCAGGAGTAAATAAGAGTGAAATAATCACAATCCAGATCAAGTCAGTGTAAATCTCCAGAACAAGAACGAAAGAAATGAGCGAAGAAACTGTGTTATGTCAAACAAAAGCTTCATTTCATGACATGCATCACAAAGATGCATAGATGTTTTCCAAGTTTCTCAAGTGTTAAGAAAAAAGGGTGAGAGCGAGAGAAGTGCCAGCCAACAGATCACACACACAAGCAAAAAAGAAGAGCACGAGAGGAAACGAGAGAGTTACGAAGAAATCGAGTGCTGAGATCTCATTTCCCTCCCAGAGACGGGAACTGCTGGAAATCGGCAATCTCGGGAGCCGAGCTCGAGCTAAGCCGCGTGTTGTTGTTGAGGCCTCTCCCGCGGCCGCGGCCGCGATTGCCACCACGTCCGCCATACTGATTCTCCGCCTCGGATTTCCGGAACTCGATCGGCACCGACTGAAGAAACGAAAACACGCTCATCGTTAGAAGAAAGCCACAAACAAGCCCATCCATTTACCTTCTTGGTCTTATCATCCTTCTCCCCTTCTTTCTTCTTGGCCTTGTCCGCTCCCTGTCGAGTATGAAACTCAGTCAGTCTCCCTTCCTCGCATAACATAACAATCGAAGAACTTTACCAGTTTGATGAAGATATCCTCGTCGGCCTTCTTGTCAACCAGCTGCATCTTCTGGAACTCACTGTCAGCCACCACTTTCCTCTCCTCGCTCTTCATGGCAGTGAGGGCCTTGCGCTTCTCCTCCATCACTTTCTCATACTCGTCCAGGGTCATTTCCTGTCGGAAAAAACAATAAGCCTTGGATTTCTCGGGAAAGCACAAACCTTTTCTTCTTTCTCCTCCTCTTTCTGTTCCTCAGTGACCTCTGGAGTTTCTTGTGCTGCCTCCGACTTAGGTGCCTCGGCTTCTGGGGCTTCGAGCTTCGCACCATCTAGTTTCACACCCTCGATCGCGTTGCCTTCCCTGACAGGAAGAAAGACGAATTAAGTTACAAAGACGAAGCTCCGTAAGTTCTTACTCGACAGAGACGGGGTCGATTGGAGTTCCCCAGTTTCCGCGACCAGCGCCATCGCGTTTGATTCCAGTGCTGTATCACCACTATCAGCCTCTACCAAGCAAAGAATCAAAACACTTTACCTGCGGCCAGTGGTGTTTTTCCTGTCGTACTGACGACGAGGGTAGTCACGCTCGCGCTCCACGCGGTCTCCGCGCTCGGCACCGCGCTCGGCACCGCGCTCGGCACCACGCTCGGCACCACGCTCGGCCCCGCGCTCACCACGCTCGCCACGCTCGCCACCACCACGTCCGCCGCGGTAATCCCCACGGTCAGCTCGCTCAACGCGACGTGGACGGGACTCATTGGGATCCTCCTCAAAAGCACCACCATTGGGCACCTCGTTCTCCTCGCCTTCACGCCCGCGACCACGTCCCCTGCCCCGCCCGCGTCCACGTCCCCGGTACCCGCCGGCTCCGTCCTCCAGCTGGCCGTTCTCCGCGCCGTCGGCACCGCCACCTCGGCCAGCGCCTCGACCACGATAAGAATCGCGTGGTGAGCTTTCAGCGTCATAGCCACGTCCGCCGCCACGTCCGGTGCCACGTCCCATGCCACGTCCGCCGCCCCTTCCCTGGCTCCGTTGGGCATCCCTCACTGTAACGACGATGACGTGAGCTAACGAAGAAGAAAAAATATTCCAAGCAGCAGCGATCTTCGCCGCGCAATGCTGCCGGATTGGAAGAGAAAGAAAATGCTAGAACGAACATACCGGCTTCGGCTGGAGGCGGGGGCTTGGTCGGCATCTTCGCGGGCGGGGGAGGAGGCGGCGGCGCCTTGGATTTCTCCTCGGTAGCGGCCGCGGCCGCGTGGGCGATGAGCGTCGGAGCATCGCTCTCGTTGTCGATGAGCAGGGCAAAAGAATTTTGGTTCGCCATGGCGGGCCGCCGCGATGCAGATTATCGGAGCCTTTTCACCCCTCTTCAGCTCTTCTGTGCCGGCCTGGAGCTGGCGATGGCGAGCGCGCGCGTCCGCGGCCTATCTTGGACAGGAGCCATTGCCTGGAAGAAGAAGAAGCTGGGAGCTAGAACCCTAAAAGCCCTAGAAAGTCCGCACGCAAGAACACAAACCCTGGAGAAGAGAGCTATCAATCTAGCGCCACCGCTCGCTCGCTCGCTCGCTCGCTAGGGTCTCCCTCTCTCTCACTCGAAGAAGACGCAACGACGACGACGAAGAAACCTCACGGACACACTGGAATAGGTAATGTAAGGCGGCGGCTTCCAATACTATGGCAAAATATCCACGTCCGTACGCATTGTCCCGTGCCCTTAGGGCAACGCCACCTTTAAGCGGACATTAGGGCAATGTCCACCACCTTTATCGAACTTTTCTAACCTCCTTTAGTTTAAGCTTTTCTTGTCATAAGTTCGTTGTGATTGACGATCAAGTGTGGCAAACAGCTGGAACACACTTAAGAAACAAGTTGGCTGTCGATCAAAGTTGCTGATTGATTGATCGCGCGAGAGATCGAAAAAAGAAGAATTTTCAGAGTCATACGCACTCATCATGCTCACGCGCGGTCGAATCTTTCTTGCATACGATGGAAAGAAATCGATCAAGTGATCCTTATCATATCAGCCAAGAACACACCGACTGACACCACCATGTCAATCTCACCTTCACGTGAACATTGTATTATTATTTTCTCTAGAACAGCCAGAAAATTTTCCTTTTCAGCCGTCCAACAAATCCAAGAAATAAAAAAATGAAAAAATTACTGTCAATACTTTTCTTTTTTCTGGTCTTTACAAAGATCCACTCCCTTGAGCTATTTGCTCCAACCACACCGCAACTTGGCCCATTGGCGGCCGCTCCTCCGCCCTCACCCTCACGCACTTCTCCGCTATCTCCGCCAGCCTCGCCACCGGCTCCACATTCCGGGGCCCCTCCACCGCCCGATCCACCACCTCCGCCCACCGCCCCGTCCTAATCAACGGCCCAGCCCACTCCGCCACCCCTGCCGGCTCAAACTCGCAGTCGTACGCCTTCCTGCCGGACAGCAGCTCCAGCAGCACCACCCCGAAGCCGTACACATCACCCGCGGCAGTCATCCGCGGCGCGGTGGAATATTCCGTATCGCGGTACCCCGCGTCCGGCGGGGCGACGCGGGCCGACCACTCCGCGTCCAGGAGAATATTCGCAGACTTTACATCCCTGTGGATGACGTCCTCCTTGTGGAGGAATTCCAGGCCCCTGGCGGCCTGCGCGGCGACGCGAAGCCTCAGTCCCCACCCCAGCGGTGAGAGCCCGCCGTGGAGGTGGTCGCGCAGCGTACCGTGCGGCATAAACTCGTACATGAGGAGCCGCTCGCCCATCTCCCCGCAGTAGCCCACCAGGTTGACAATGTTGGCGTGGCGGAGCTTGCACAAGATCTCAAGCTCCGCGTCGAAATCCCGGCTGCTGCCGTGAATCCTCTGCGCCGCATTCGCGCGCTTCACCGCCACCAGCTGCCCGTCGCCCAAGACCGCCTTGTACACGAAGCCATAGCTCCCGCGGCCCAGCTCGTTCACCTCCTTGAAGTTGCCTGTGGCGTCGCGGAGCTCGGACAGCCGGTACCGCAAGGCCTCGGGCGGTTTGACGCACGGTATGCCGCCGGAGCCAACCGACTGCAGCTGCATGCCGCCGGAGGTGCCGGTGCCGGTGCCGCCGTTTTGGTGGCCGTAGGCGCCGTCCCCCGATCTCCCGCTGCCGCTGTTCCGCCACCATCTCCCTCTCCGCCGCTGCAAGCAGCACCAAGCCAACAGCCCAATCACCGCCACCACGACGCCGCCAGAGATGGCGGCACCCAGTACCGCCGCTAGGCTTACCGCACGGTGGCGCCGCTCTTCCACCCCAACAGCGCTGATCTCGGGCGCCACTGGCAACGGCGACAAGTGGCACAGCCCGCGGCACAACTTCGTCTCGCACAGCGAGCAATCAGTGCACCGCCGGTTGTCATTCGCGCCACAGGGTGCCGACACGAACGATCCATTCGAGCAGTCGCTCGCGCACGGCGCGCACACCTGCTGTGTGCTGCTCGAGCACAAGCCCGCGGTAACCACGCCCAGGCTGGACGCGTTAAAGCTAAACTCTCCCGCACCGCACGGCGCAGCGGTACACACTCCGGGGCTCGACAGCTGCAGCGGCGGCGCGAACTCCGTGCCATTCCCCCAGCACACCACGAGCAAATTATCCTCCCGTACACCGCACGTCACGACGCGCGACGAGGCCAGCGCCAAGAACTCCGTCCGGTCTGGCGCCGCCGACGCATTAAACCCCCGCCCCCAGCACATAACGCCGTGCGTGTCCTGCCGCACGGCACACCCATGATTCAATCCCAGGCTGAGAACCACGAAAGGTATACCGCGCGGTGCATCCGTCTGACCAAGCCGGTTGTCCCCCCAGCACCGAATCTCCCTCGACTTCCTCACAATCCCACACGCGTGCTCGCCGCCGGCAGACAGCGACTCAAACTCCACGTCACCAGGCGGAGCCGTGGCAGCAAGGCTGGCATCGCCCCAGCACCGCGCGGTACCGCCATCGCCGGTCTCTATACCGCAAACAAACCTCCGCCCCGCGACCAGGGACCGCAGCGTCACGCCGCGCGGCACGTTAAGGCTGTCGTCCCCGTTCCAGCAGTCCACCAGCGCGTCCTGGGAGCGAGCAGCGCAGACATGGCCGTCGCCAGCGGCGATGGAATCGTAGCTCGTGTTCTGGAACTGCTCGGGGACGATGTTGATCGACGTGAGGTTCTTCCGCCAGCAAAAGGGACGCTGGCTCCCGGCCGCGATCCCACACATAAATCCCATTCCACCCGAGAGACCCAGCATCGCCGGACCCGTCGATGGCCACTCCAAGCTCTCATTCCTCCCCCAGCAAAACACTTGCTGCTCGAACGTCGCCTCGACCGCGCAAAACAATGGATCGTCCTCCCCGTACGAGGCAGCGATAGAACACATACCGCCCAGTCCGAGAACCATCTTCGCCGAGCTCAAGAACTCGAGGAAGAACACGAAGAGAATTGTCCTGCTATAACTCAGCGATGGTGGTGGCAGTGGTGAGGATTTGCCGCCGAAAGTCATTCCTTTCCAGCCTCTTTCCCTGTGATTCCTGTCCCAGATCTTGCTGCGAATGCCACAGCCAATCTTCCTCCTCCCTGATCCTTGCTACGCGGTTCCTGCTAGAGGGCATTGAGAATTCCCTGCCTGCGAGCGATCCACTTACTAGCGGCCAGAAACCCGAGCTACCAGGCGATGATCCTCCTCCTCGGCAGCCAAGAACAGCGGGAGAAAAGCTCATCAATCTTCCTGCCAAGCTGTACATGTGCATGATCCGCCTAAAGAAAGCAACCACAGCTGGAGCGCTGCCATCTTTGCGAGAGCCACCAAAGTTTTCTCCTGCTGAATGATTAGCCGCTTGCCGCCGCCGCTGCTGCTGCTACTGCCGCTGCTAGATCCCGATTGGAGCCATCCTCATTCTTTAGTCGGGTCGGACCGAGATCCTCTGGCAATCATAGGAAGAACCAAGCTATTCGTCCCCCGCGGGGAGAAAGAATAGAAGAGACCCCAAAGAGCTAACTCCACAGCTGGACTGTGATCCCCACCACCACCACCACCACCACCACCTCCACCACTCCACCACCACCACCACCACTCCGCCACCATCACCAAATTTTTTCCAAGTACCCGTCACCCGCCCGTCACCTGCCCGTCACCCCAGCAGCAAAGCCCAGCCGTTGGACGGCACAAACGACAAACGGTCCAGGCGCTGCCGCGTGTCGGCTCCCGCTTGGCCACTGCTCTTAACTAAACATCTAGTTCCCTGCCATCCATGTCTCTCGTCCTCCTCCCCCGAGCGAGATAGAAAAGCTCTCTCCTTCTCTCGCGATTCTCCTCCGAATTTACTGGAGTGGTGGTCAATTCGATTCCCGCTGTCCACTGCTGTTGTCACTGTTCCTGACTACTTCCACACTGTTTGCGTAGACCATCCATGACTCTTGAGTTGGTCCTTGCCGAGCTTTCTTCCTGCTTTTCCGCTAAAGTTCTCGTTTCCCCCCCCCCCCCCCCCGGGAGTAAAGATCGTCGACGGGCGGAGAAAAGTGGAGTAGCAGTCCAACCAGCCGGCCAGCCAGCCAGCACCACCAGCCCAATTTGCACTGCCTGTCCCTGACCGCCTGTTCTTCTCTAAGCTTCCAGGACATCTTGACGAGCTATTCCCAGGTCGTGTACTTTGGGCCGGCCACCTTTGCCGAAAACAATCCACTCCGCCCCTCTTTATGCTCCATACTCGTCGACTGTTTTTGCTTCCTCCCAACGTGCAAACCTCTGCCGGTTTCTCCTATTCAATGTCTCTTTGCCTTTGAAATCCAAGCGACCTGACACAGCGATTTTAGTACCAGCCTTGCAAACGATATAAAATATAATGCGATGAGGATGGGCCTGTTTAAAGCTCGAAAAATTGAAAAGGAAAAGAGTTCTTACCTTGACTTAAAACATGGCACATGGTTGGATGCGTGGCACTGAAAAGTAATCAGCATCGTCGGGACCTGACAATAACAGTTCACTGGATTGAAGCTGCAAAACATTGCATCTGTTACAACACAAAAACTATGGCAGGGATTGAAACCTCTGAGACAAAAACTGGATATCTGGACACATTCACCTTTATTTCGTAAGAGTAAAAAAATTCGGCTGACTTCCAGAAAAACCTCTCGGTTTTATTCAGCACAGAGAAATACCTGGCTGGCGATCAATCGAAAAAGAAAACCAAAATAGTGTACATCCTGTGCCCCGTCACCCGCTCCCAAAGGAAAAAAAAAAGGAACATTTTACTTGGACTGAAGTAGTTGTCTAATCACGTAATGTAGAATGCCTCCATTCTCAAAATACGTCAATTCCACCTGCAATGAGAAGCGTTACCAAGAGAATCTCGAGCAAGAATTTGAAAAACGAACCTGTGTGTCAAACCGCAAAGTGCAGGTGAAACTTTTGCCTTTATCAGTCTTCACAAGAACGTCTTGCCCCGGCTTGATGTCCTTGATGTCCGAAGGAATATCAATGGTGAACCTCTCGTACCCTGTCAATCCCAGCGATTCTGCGTCCTCACCGCTCTTGAAACACAACGGGATGATGCCCATTCCCACCAAGTTGCTCCGATGAATACGCTCAAAACTCTTCGCAATTACTGCTTTCACACCCTGAAAGGAAAGGAACATTTGAAGGCAACAATAAAAACGCAACATTTTTTACCTGCAAATACGGCCCTTTGGCAGCCCAATCCCTGGAGCTTCCACTTCCATATTCTGCACCAGCAAGTATGATGGTATCATGCCCCTCGTCTTGGTATTTCTGAAAAAATAGAAGTGAAAAATAAAAATCTTAAAAAGTCAAAAAAATTTGCAAAATCAAATATACCTTGGCAGCGTCAAATACAGAAAGCTTTTCTCCAGAAGGTATATGAATTGTCTTGGGGCCAACCTCGCCTTTGAGAAACTTGTTGACAATCCGGATGTTGGCAAATGTTCCTCTTGCCATGATCTCGTCGTTACCCCGACGGCTTCCATAAGAGTTGAAGTCCTTTTTCTCAACTCCACGTTCCATCAAGTACCTGGCAGCTGGACTGTCTTTGTTGATGTTTCCCGCAGGAGATATATGATCAGTCGTGATGCTGTCCCCAAAGTTTAGAATACAATACGCATCTTTTACGCCGTGGACGCCAGGAGGGCTCTTCGTCATCGATTTAAAAAACGGGGGGTCATGCACGTAAGTAGATTCTGGATCCCACGCATATAAAGCACCAGAAGGAGCGGAAAGATTGTTCCACATTTTGTTTTCCTTCGTGATGGTCTTATATGTTGATCGGAACATGTCCGGAACCACGGCTTTTTCGACTACCTGGAGAGCGCATGTTAAAACAAAGAAAGCACGAGCTAGTCAACACCTTTGCCACTTCTTCGGACGAAGGCCAAATATCCCTCAAGAAAACCTCTTTTCCTGATTTCCCAACTCCAATAGGTTCCGTATCGAAGTCGATATCAACCTATAAGCGAATTTCTGTCAGAATCCCCAGCACGAGATGCACAGCGAAGGATCTTACCGTTCCAGCTAAGGCATATGCGACTACCAAAGGAGGTGATGCCAAGTAATTAGCTCGAGTCAAAGGATGGATACGACCCTCGAAGTTACGGTTTCCAGAAAGCACGGCAGCCGCGATCATATCTGAAATTAAGAAGTGAGAAAAATAATTCCAGCCAAAGAATTACTCACCATTGTCAGCAATGGCAGACGCTACATCTTCGTGAATTTCTCCAGAATTACCAATGCACGTTGTGCAGCCATAACCAACCAAACTAAAACCTTGCTTGTCAAGATACTCTGTCAAGCCACTGAAAAGCACGAAGGATGTCAGACAAAGAGTAATATACATGTCACTTAGTTTACCTCTGCTTAAGATACTTTGTAACTACCCCGGACCCTGGAGCAAGACTCGTCTTTATCCAAGGCTTTACTTGAAGGCCAAGTTCTGTTGCTTTTTTCGCAACAAGTCCGGCCCCAAGCATCACACTAGGATTCGACGTATTCGTACAGCTTGTAATGGCGGCAATAACAACATCGCCATGTCTGAGCTCAGCTGGTTTTCCTTCAAATTTGAACTTTGCAATTGCCGACTGCTCATCTTTAGGCACGCCAAAGCCCTACAAATAGCAGCATGTCAGATAAAAGAAAATGAATTATCGGTTTCTTACCTTGAACCCGACCTTGCTATCCAAACAATTATGCCAATCTTCTTTCATATCTTTTAAGTTTACTCGATCGTGTGGACTGAACGGTTCAACATGAGAATCTTAGCAAGTATGAAGAACCTGCCTTACCGTTTCGGACCAGACACGCAGGGCTGTACTGAATCCAGATCCAACTCCAAATACGAAGAATAAACCTTCTCGGTTTCAGGCTGCAACAACCAAGATACGTAAGAAACATGTGTAAAGCTCATATACATGCATACCTCATCGTAATCAATGAACATTTTGTTTGCTCGCAAGTAGGATTCAATCATCTCGACCTGGGCACAAACAGCATTCAGAATACGTTTGTAGAGGCCGAAAGAAACAAGTACCTTCTTCTCATCACGACCGGTCATCCGCAAATACTGCAAAGACACGTGATCCACAGGGAAAAAGCCCATGGTGGCACCGTACTCAGGAGACATATTTGCAATAGTCGCCCGATCAGCCAAGGACAGCTCTTGCATACCCTTGCCTATAAAAAGCGTGAGTAGAATACTCCAGCGAGTGCAAAACCAGAAACCTTACCATAAAACTCGACAAATTTTCCCACAACACCATGTTTCCTCAGCATCTGAGTGCACGTCAGCACCAAATCGGTAGCAGTAACTCCAGTTCGAAGTTTGCCGCTTAACTTGAAGCCAACAACCTCGGGCAAAACCATACTCATTGGCTGCAAACATGTACTCTTTGATAAACACTACAGTAGAATCAAATCTAATTATACTGACCTGACCAAGCATCGCTGCCTCAGCTTCAATACCTCCAACACCCCATCCGGCAACACCAAGCCCGTCTATCATCGTCGTGTGTGAGTCAGTCCCAACTAGACTATCCGGGTATAAAAATCCATCATTAGAAAAAACTACACGAGCTAGATACTCGAGATTAACCTGCAACCAATAGTGTCTCAGAAACAAAACTAAAATATTCGAAACAGTACCTGGTGCACAATACCCGACCCAGGCGGCACAACCAGCATGTTTTTGAAAGCTGTAGCACCCCACTTTAGAAATCCAAATCGCTCCTTGTTACGGTCGAATTCATGTTTCATGTTGGCTTCAAGAGCATTCGCAGCCCTCGCTACATCAACTTGAACTGAATGATCTATGACCAGATCAACAGGAATCTGAAAAAAATAAACGGAAAGAAGTTTGAGTCAAGAACATGAACTAAGTTAAGCTGATCACGTAGCTTACCATGGGATTAATTACGTTGGGATCCCCACCGAGCCTCTTCATCGCATCACGCATTGCAGCCAAGTCAACAACAGCAGGAACTCCAGTAAAATCCTGGAAAAGAGACAGTTAAGCTAAGAAATTACGAAAGCATCTAAACTGGTGGGCTACCTGCAAGATGACTCGTGCGGGCTTAAAAGCGATCTCCACTTGCTGGGGAGCTGTGTTCTCCCAGTCTATGATTTTCTCCACATCTTCCTTTGTGACTTGAAAGTTGTCACAGTTCCTGATGCACGACTCCAGTAGAATCTTGATGGAATACGGCAGCTTTTCTGAAAAGCCAAAGAATTTCAGTGGCCAAACCACGCACAAACAATGGGACTTACCAACGCGAGGATCGTTCAAAGCTGGCAGGCTGTAGTACTTTCCATGGCCCTCCAAAGGCTTTACCAGATTCTTGTAGGGGTTAGCTGCAAAAAACGAATCCAAGGAGAAATATTTCAGCTCTTGCGAATGCATCGCAGCGAAATCAGACCTGACGAGGAGTAGTCCCTGGAACTCCTGCGCTGTCCAGGCGCCGTCAAAACCCCGGCCTGCGCGACAGCGCATTGACCTCCTCCGAT